TTCAGAGCCCCATCCCCTCTCTCACCCAGTGGAAGACAAAAGACTTCCTATCACGTGAGACTGGACTACAGGCAGCACCAGGGACAGTAACACAATAATGAAAACACCTTTCCACTAAAAGAAGAATTAGGGAGGAAACAGAGACAAGGCAGAGATCAGAAGAAAAGTACAGAGGGATAACACTGTATTCATGAAATAAAGTACAGAATGCTATTTTCTAAAAGGAGGTGGGAACATTCAGAGAATAAAAAAGAGCTCTTGGATACTAAACTTATGACTGCTGACATTCAATAGAAGAATTGGGAAATACAGTTAAGAAAAATCTCAAAATAGACGAACCCAAACAAACAAGGAGACACAAAATAGGCGGAAAACATATAACAAATGGTAAGTCCAGAAAATGCAACAGAGGGCCAGAAATAAAGATAGAACATGGAGAAAAGATAATTCTCAAAGAAATAATTCAAGGATTTCACAGAACTAAAGAACAGGTGTTTGTAAGTGTGAAGTCCCACTGGTCGAGGAGACCACAAAGGCATATCATTGTGAAATGTCAAGACACCAGGGATAAAGAGAAGACTGTGGAAGCTTCCAGAGAGAATGAACAGACCCCGTGTAAAGGATCAGGGGTCAGGCTGGCATTAGGCTCTCAACAGCAATGTTAGAGGCAATGGCTAATATCCTCCAAATTTGGAGGGCAGATGGGCATAACGATGTCTGCAGATATGCAAGATTCCAAACTCTCTCTCATGAACCTGCCAAGATAAAGGAGGAGGTTACAAGAAAGGGGGACGGGGCAGAAACAAGAAGCCAAGTGAATTCCCAAGAAGTTGGGAAGTGAGGACAAAAACCCTGCAGCCAGTCTGGAGGTGAATTGCCCAAATGGGAAGGGAACAACATAGTTCCAGGAATACCCTCTCCAAGGAAAACAACACAACACACTGAGAGGCTATCTGGTGTGTTTAAGCACACTATGTTTAGGAAAGAATCAACGATAGGTACACAGAAACCAAACGAAGAAAAAACAAGGCCGTTTTCAACTCAATTATGCTTAAGGAAACATAATCATGGCACACTACGTAGTTATCTACAAATACAATTTGCACAATAATACAATCACTAAATATTGATTTAACCGAAAGTTGTGATGTGAAACTACACTGGCAGGATGGAACACAAAGACATTCATATTTTATAGTAGAGAGTCAATAAAACTGAAAAACATAGTATTTAGAAATATAGAGCTAAACAGCAGAAAAGGGCTAAAAATTTGAGTCATATACTCTAGGAAATTGGGACAGGGCAGAGACCCATTCTTCTGCTATTACTCTTAAAGGAATATTTGACCTTTAAAATTATTTATATGTATCACTTTCATAAAAACAAAATATGATTAGATAAAAGCTGAATTTTCTTGGTCAACTGTAAGTGAAAAAAATGAGTAAAATGTAGTTTTTAAATTACGGCAGGTACTAAGACTGATACTCAATTTGTGCCTATAAACCAAAAATAAAATTCTAAGCTCCCCATCTGACTGAGGGTCCTTCACTCAGCCAAGGGCATTCCAAAGCTAACCTGAAAACTAGTTCAGGCCATGATGGGACATGGGGGGTTGAACATGCCTCATTATACCCTCCTTCCTTTGGAATTCAGGCCCAGATGACGAGCATTAACATCAAAACAGAGACCTTAAGACTGACAGAAATGATAGGAAACATTTACAATCTATTATTTCTGAAGCCCACTATCTGGAGGCTTCATCTGCATGATAAAACCTTGGTCTCAACAATCACTTATCTTAACCCAGACATTCCCTTCTATTGATTTTCATGTTTTTAGATAATAACTCTTTCAACCAATTGCCAATCAGAAAATCTTTTAATCTACCAATAACCTGGAAGCCAGAGGCTTTCCAAATCACACTGAAATGACAGTCCACAGTGCCTGAACCTTGGTGAACCTTTTGGAACAAACCAATGTACATCTTGTATATGTATTGATTGATTGATTGATGTCTTTTTTTTTTTTTTTTTGAGATGGAGTCTTGCTCTTGTCGCCCAGGCTGGAGTGCAGTGGCATGATCTTGGCTCACTGCAACCTTTGCCTCCTGGGTTTAAGCAATTCTCCTGCCTCAGCCTCCCGAGTACCTGGGACTACAGGTGTGTGCCACCACCCCTGGCTAATGGTTTGTATTTTTAGTAGAGACTGGGTTTCGCTGTGTTAGCCAGGATGGTCTTGATCTCCTGACCTCATGATCTGCCCACCTCGGCCCCCCAAAGTGCTGGGATTACAGGTGTGAGCCACCGCACCCAGCCAATTGATGTCTTAGGTCTCTCTATAATGTATAAAACCAAGCTGTAGCCCAACCACCTTGGCACATGTTCTCAGGATCTCCTGAGGCTGTGTCACGAACCATTGGTCACTCATATTTGGCTCAGAATAAGTCTCTTCAAATATTTCATAGAGGTTGACTCTTTTCATTGGCATGCCTTTAGAGAACCATGGGATCTCATGATTGGAAGCCCCTGAACAATCATCTGATATGCCACCTGCTTCCCAGTGTGAGACCAGCTATGTGAACTGTGAACAACTCTGCCCCTAGGAACTGCTCCCAACACAGTTATGGCCCCCAAAACACCATACCCAGGTAAACACACTAACTTTTCCATAGTCAAAGATGGCCAGGCATGACCCTGAAGCCTCTTCTCTGCTGGGTTCCTACTTCCACTTCTCTCTAGCTTCTGAGGGGCTCTCTCTGAGTCCCAGACTGTGTGACCAAAAAGGCCTTAGGCAATAGCTCCTAATCTCACATCCCTCCAATCTGGGAGAGCAGCCAGACCAAGACAGACTACTCTTTGTGGCAATTTCAAACCTTGCACGGATGGGCTGCAGGGTGGAGCCTAGGCTGGGTGCTCATGTGCTCACCACTGGGCAGGGAACAGGGCAGGGATGGGGACACAGTCCGCACCAGGAGCAAAGCTGTACCCTTGCAGTCAGCTGAGGGAGGAGGGTCATTCTCCAGGAGAAACTGGTAATGGGTAGGCAATCCATGAAACAGGCCATGGATGGTAAAGAAAGAGAATGTTTATTAAATTTGTCTCTTGAAAGATTCAATTTTTGGTCATGTTTGAGAATTAATTATGTCTTCTCTAACTAATGATTTTATGCTATAAGCTTCCTGTGCTCTGGGACATGGATGGATGATCAGCATAAATTGCCACAAAGCAGGAATTCAACAAGATGATCATTTGTTTTTAAGAAAATGTCTCTTTGTTTATTTCCTGTGGAAATAATGACTTCCTGGGTAACTGTGGCAAGAGTAAAAAAAATCTGCTTCCAGACCTTAAACCTTTTACTCATAAGTTTGGTAATGGGACATTTTTATAGAGTTTTGGTGACTTTACAATTTTTGTCTTCAGGTGGTGTGTTTTTTATTTCCATTTGCATTGTAAAATGGTATCTCATCAGAGGAGCCAAGCTGCTAGAAATAGATTCAAAAGTAACAGTTCATGTTGATGCCTCTGGGGTAACACATACACTCGGTCTGGTTCCTAACCATGCCATAGACACAAAAAACTAAAATCAATTGCCTCAGCACCTCACATTGCTCAAAGATACATAAGCCAATACTATCCACGTGATTGATAAGTGTTAACAGAAAAACAAAACTGTAAAATATCTCAAGATGTTTATACTGAGCCAATATGAGTGACCATGGCCCAGTGTTCAGTTCAGTTTCAAGACGTCCTGAAACAGTGTGCTTGAGGTGGTTGGGTTACAGTTCGGTTTTATACATTTTAGGGAGACAGAAGTTACAGGCAAAAACGTAAATCAATACATGGAAGGTATACATTGGTTCATCCTAAAGAGGTAGGATACCTTGAAGCAGGGGCTTACAGGTCAGAGGTGGATTCCAATATTTTCTGATTAGCAATTGGTTGAAATAATTAAGCTTTGTTTAAAGACAAAAGAAATGCCTGAGTTAAGGGGGGCTGTGGACACCAAGGTTCTTTGCTATTATTATTTGATACAGGGTCTCATTCAATTGCCCAGGCTGGAGAGCAGTGGTGCAATCACAATTCGCTGCAGCCTCAACCTCCCAGACTCAATGATCCTCCCACCTTAGCCTCTCGAGTAGCTAGGGCTGCAGGCACACACCACCATGACTGGGTTTTTTGTTTGTTTGTAGAGATGGGGTTTCACCACGTTGCCCAGACTGGTATCAATCTCCTGGGCTCAAGTGATCTACCCACCTCAGTCTCCCAAAGTGTGGGATTACAGGTGTGAGCTACAGGCCCAGCCAGACCAAGGTTCTTGTTATGCAGATGAAGCCTCCAGGTAGCAGCTTTCAGAGAACATAGAAGGTAAATGTCTCTTTTCAGATCTTAAAGGTAACAAATTCATTTAATCTCTCCTAGATCCCAGAAAGACCTAGAAGGGGAAGGCCTGGCCACATTAATGGAGATATCTCTACAGATGCAAATTCCCCCCACAGGAAACAGTTTTGCAGGGCCATTTCAAAATATATCAAAGAAATATATTTTTGGGGTAAAATATTTTTATTTCCTTCAGAGTCGGCTGTCATATGATGCTATACCAGAATCAGGTTGGAATTTGCTATCTTATGTGCCACTCTTTGTGGCAACAAAGTGTCTGTTTTATCAGCCTAATAATCTCTATTTCAATGTTAATGCTAGTCAGTTGTGCCCAACTCTGACAGGGAAAGGGTATAACGAGGTATGTCTAACCTCCCTTCCCATCACGGCCAAAAACACAGTTTTTCAGTTTTCTCTGAGGCCAAGACAGAGTCCATTCGGTTGGCTGGGGGACTTAAGATTTTATTTTTGGTTTACATCATGGAGGTTGGGGCCGTGTTCTCCGTCAACAGGCACGACCAATTGTCTAAGTATTTACAGTTTATGTCTTTTTTTTTTCATTCTTTTTTTTCACCGGGGCGTTCCTGAGTTTATTTGGGGCACACCCAGGCGAAGGCCCTGGACCTAGAAGGTGTTGGGCCTCCTGGTGGTGAAGCGCGGCTAGTGCTGACGGCGCAGGACCGGGTGGGGTAGCAGGAACTTGATCTTGGAATCGTGGCTTGACGGCTGGCCGGCGGCACTTACTGGCTGCGATCTCCTCCACCTTCATGATCTGGATGGAGTGGGTCCAGGCGCCGTACCGGGCGCCCATGTCTCGCTAGTACTGGATGACAGCGCCTGCGGTGGTCGGGTCCTGGTATTCCCGGTGTCAGGTCTCTGAGCCTGAGCTAAGCCATCAAATCCCCTGTGACCTGCACGTATACATCCAGATGGCCTGAAGCAACTGAAGATCCACAGATGTGAAAATAGCTTAACTGATGACAGTCCACTGTTGTGATTTGTTTCTGCCCCACCCTAACAGATCGATGTACTTTGGAATTTCCTCCACCCTTAAGAAGGTTCTTTATAATCTCCCCCACCCTTAAGAAGTTTCTTTGTAATTCTCCCCACCCTTGAGAATGTACTTGGTGAGCTTCACCCCCTGCCCCCAAAACATTGCTCTTAACTTCACCGCCTATCCCAAAACCTGTAAGAACCAATGACAATCCCACCACCCTTTGCTGACTCCTTTTTCAGACTCAGCCAGCCTGCACCCAGGTGAAATAAACAGCCATGTTGCTTACACAAAACCTGTTTGGTGATCTCTTCACACGGACACGTGAAACACCCGGTACATGTTGTGGGTGCTGCTCCGGGAGTCATAGCGCAGCCAGATGCCAAAGTTCTTCACCCGCAAGGGGGACTTCTCAAACACCTGCCCACAGTAGACAATCTCCCCTGAAGACTTCTTCATCTTCTTTAACTGAGATAGGAAGTACCAGAAGCGGGTCTTGGCGATGACATCATTAGGCGCAAAGATTCGCATGCGGTATAGGGGCAGTGTGTGGCATTTGGGGGTGGGCGGGCAGCGACCCACCACCTTGCACTCTCGTAGTGTGCCCAAGGCCTTCATGGCATCCTCTCCGCGCTCACCGCCACCCGCAAAAGGTACAGTTTATGTCTTTACGGTTAATTGCACTTGAAGAAAATACAAATATTTTACCCCAAAGTATATTTCTTTGACACATTTTGAAATGGCTGCCACAGGGCCAGCAGACAAAGTGGCCTTGTAAAGTTGTCTCTTGTCGGGGAAATTTGCATCTGTAGAGAATCTCCATTAATGCAGCCAGGCCTTCCCTTTCTAGGCCTTTCACAGATCTGGGAGAGATTGAGTCTGACACCTTTACAAGTCTGAAAAGACATGTTTACTATCTATTCTCTCTAGGGGTTCTAGCTATAAGGCTTCATCCACATAACAAGGCCACTTTTGCTAGCCAAGCCTCCTTTTTTCTCTCCCCTATAACCTGTCTTGCCATTAAAACCTGTTTTGGGCCACACTCTGAGCCTGCGTTCTTTTTATAACCTCAAGGTGGTATATAAGCTTCTGTACCTTATTGAGGGATTGGATCTTCATTCTGAAAGCTCCCATGTATATATGTTAAATAAATCTGCCTTTTCTCCTATTAATCTGCTTTTTGTAAATTGATTTTCAGTGAACCTTTACAGGGCCAAGGGGAAAACTCTCCTTTGGCCCTTAGGGTGAACAGTGAAGAAGACACAAGGGGCACAAGAGGATGCAGCAAGTTTTCACAATAAGACTAGGAGATTACACAGTTTGACAGAATGAACTCGTCATTATTTTTCATTTCAGGTGCTCAGAACATGTAGTTCAATTAACTGGTATTGAAATTGCACGCCAGAAAAAAACATATATTTCTCTTCTCTTTTCTTTGAGCTAGAAGACTAGTTTGCTACAAAATAGTCTCTTTCCCTGGTGAAAAAAACAAGGGGTGAAATTTAAAACCTGTTTTTAATCTCATGACCATTAGAGGCCCTGATTTAAAAAAAAAAAAAACAAAAATGATTATCTTACAAAAATCAACAACTACCTAAACATTTACAAATAAAAATCTCCTTTCACTGAAGAAGTATTCTATTATAACAAATCACTGGAAAAGAATAAGCCTGTAACAGTACCCTTTGCACCAAATAATGCCTTAAGGGTTCAGAAGTCCTTGAATATTATTTCTTCTGATCCTCACAGCAATTCCATTAGGCTGTTCTCAACGTGATACATGGATGACGGAAAAACAGCCTGAAGTCAGAGAAGGCTTGCATAAAGTCACTCAGCTTACAGGAATCAGGGCTGCAGCCAGGCTTTGACATTTAGCCCTGGCCTCTCTCTTTCTGATAAATCCAGTTTCCTTCCCCTTCTCAGATCTCCAACTATGCCACAACAAAGTCTTGCATGGTATGTGTGTTCCTCTCCTCTCTAAATATTCCCTCCTGTTGCAATAAGTTTCCAGCCTAAAAATGTGAAATTTAAAAACTTTTTATCTAAACACAAGTGAAATAAAAAGCAAAACATGGAGATAAACAAAAACCTGGCAACTTGGAAGGGGGGGGAAGAAAAGTATTTTAGAGGACTCCTTTTAAAACAAGGTCATATTTTAAGATCATAATAGTGAAGATTAAAAACTCAGTAATACTCCACACCTTTATTAATATTGGGCAGTACGCATCATCACAGAACAGATATTTAATATGTACTCGAACTGGTCCAGACCATAGAAAACGATGGAAGGCTCCCCCTAATTCATTCTAAGACGCTAGAACACACTTAATACCAAAGTATGATAAAGAAAAACAGAAACCAATTTCACTTATATTGATGCAAAGATTCTAAATCAAGTACTGGCAAATAGATCCCAGAAGTGAATTTGTTACTGTAGGTAGCTAGTCAGGCATAAGCAGGGCAGGAAGGTGCTCCCAGCACGCATACACACACACACACACCTGGAATGTGAGGTGACCATCAGGTGATGGTCAGGCGGTTGCTGACTCTCTTTCTAAAATAATAATTGATCACAGCCGGTGCCAGAGAAAGGCAGTCTCCTAATAGATAGAGAACACCTGAAACTGGTGAGCAGCAGCTTCCCGATAAGATCTCAGGAGTTGGACAAGTGGGCTCAGGCATGCATATTAAGAGGCAGAATGGCAGGAGGGCGGGGTTTAAATGGTATATGACCTTCAAGGGACATCTGACTGGTAAGGACCTCAAGTGAGCATGTGTACAACTCCAGTAAATACACTGTGCATGCTCATCTCCCAAGCACTAGTAGGCTACTGTGCACGTGGACATCCCACCTCAAGGGAAGAATCAGAAGGAATCCAAGACCCTGGAAGTATGTCAACATACAAAACCCTAAGTCAGGCCAGGCACGGTGGCTCATGCCTGTAATCCCAGCACTTTGGGAGGCTGAGGCGGGGAGATGACTTGAAGTCAGAAGTTTGAGACCAGCCTGGCCAACATGACGAAACCCCATCTCTACTAAAAATGCAAAAATTAGCCAGGCATAGTGGCAGGTGCCTGTAATCCCAGCTACTCAGGAGCCTGCGGCATGAGAATCACTTGAACCAGGGAGGCGGAGGCTTCAGTGAGCCGAGACTGCACCATTGCACTCTAGCATGGGAGATAGAGTAAGACTCTATCTCCAAGAAAAACAACAAACAATCCTAAGTCAAAGGTCAAACTGCACACTTCATCTCAGAAGTCACCTGCTTGGCCCTCTTCCAAGTGGACTTTACTTCCTTTCATTCATGCTCTAAAGCTTTTAAATAAACTTTCAGTCCTGTTCTAAAACTTGCCTTGGTCTCTCCTTCTGCCTTACACCTTGGTCAAATCCTTCTGAGGAGGCCAGAACTGAAGTTGCTGCAAACCTACATAGATTCACCACCAGTAACAAATTAACAGAAAAATATATGGAATATAATATAATAATATAACATAGTTTATTTCAGGAATGCAGAGATGGCTTAACATTAGCAAAACTATCAACATAATTTATTATATTTTTAAGTGAAAAGATAACCATGCAATAAAACATAAAGGTTGGAAGATGGCCGAATAGGAACAGCTGTGGTCTACAGCTCCCAGCAAGATCAAAGCAGAAGACGGGTGATTTCTGCATTTCCAACTGAGGTCACCAGCATCAAAGACCAAAGGTAGATAAAACCACAAATATGGGGAGAAACCACAGCGAAAGGCTGAAAATTCCAAAAACCAGAATGCCTCAGAAAAAACCAGAGGCCTCCGAAATAACACCACACATCTACCACCATCTGATCTTTGACAAACCTGACACACACAAGCAATGGGGAAAAGATTCCCTATGTAATAAATGGTGTTGAGAAAACTGGCTAGCCATATGCAGAAAACTGCCACTGGGCCCCTTCCTTACACATTATGCAAAAATCAACTTAAGATGGATCAAAGACTTAAACTTAAGACCTAGGACCATAAAAATCCTAGAAGAAAACCTGGCCAATACCATTCAGGACATCGGCATGGGCAAAGATTTCATGTGTAAAACACCAAAAGCAATGGCAACAAAAGCCAAAATTGACAAATGGGATCTAATTAAACTAAAGAGCTTCTGCACAGCAAAAGAAACTACCATCAGAGTGAACAGGCAACCTACGAATGGGAGAAAATTTTTGCAATCTTCCCATCTGACAAAGGGTTAATATCCAGAATCTACAAGGAACTTAAACAAATGTACAAGAACAAAGCAAACAACCCCATCAAAAAATGGGCAAAGGATATGAACAGACACTTCTCAAAAGAAGACATTTATGCAGCCAACAGACATAAGAAAAAATGCTCATCATCACGGGTCAATAGAGAAATGCAAATGAAAACCACAATGAGCTACTATCTCATGCCAGTTAGAACGGCGATCATTAAAAAGTCAGGAAACGAGATGCTGAAGAGGTTGTGGAAAAATAGGAACACTTTTACACTGTTGGTGAGAATGTAAATTAGTTCAACCACTATGGAAGACAGTGTGGCAATTCCTCAAGGATCTAGAACTAGAAATACCATTTGACCCAGAAATCCCATTACTGGGTATATACCCAAAGGATTATAAATCATTCTACTATAAAGACACATGCAAACGTATGTTTACTGTGGCACCATTAACAACCGCAAAGACTTGGAACCAACCCAAATGATAGACTGGATGAAGACAATGTGGCACATATACACCAAGGAATACTACGCAGCCATAAAAAAGGATGAGTTCATGTCCTTTGCAGGGAATGGAAACCATCATTCTCAGCAAACTATCACAAGATCAGAAAACCAAACACCACATGTTCTCACTCATAAGTGGAAGTTGAACAATGAGAACACATGGACACAGGGAGGGGAACATCACACACTAGAGCGTGTGAGGTATGGGGGGCTAGGGGAGGGATAACATTAGGAGAAATACCAAATGTAGGTGATGGGTTGATGGGTGCAGCAAACCACCATGGCACGTGTATACCTATGTAACAAAAACTGCACGTTCTGCACATGTAACCCAGAACTTAAAGTATAATTTAAAAAATAAATAAATAAATTCATGCTTCAAATAGTCGATAATGCCTATCCTTTAGGACATCAAACAATTTATTTAATATGCCATTTATTTATTGGAAGTATTTAAAATAATGGCAACTAAACAGGCTTCCGCATTTCCACAAAAAAGGACCATTAGCTCTTGAATGAGGTAAGAAACACAATAAAAAATAATTTAAGGTTAAAAAAAAAAACATAAAGGTTAAAAAAGCACTTGCTATACAATTCAATAGTTATTCCCAATTAAAATAAATAAACAGCAAACGACCTAAAATAGAAGTAGAAAAATATACTTAAATAAAAATCACTTACTACAAACCTACAGCAAACAACTCATTATTATTATTAAGAGACAAGTCTCATTCCGTTGCCCAGGTTGGAGTGCAGTAGCATGATCACAGCTCACTGTAATCTCAAACTCCTGGATTCAAGTGATCCTCCTGCCTCAGCCTCCTGAGTAGCTAGTACTACAGGCACATACGACCACACTAGGCTAATTTTTAAATTTTTCACAAAGACAGGGTCTTGCTTTGTTG